GCGCTGTTGTTGCCCTGTTGATGACGTCAGCGATGCGGTTTAGTCGGGCGCGGTTTAGTCGAGCGCGGTTTTGTGGTGGAACCATTTCTATTACCCTGTAATTGGAAGTACCTCTGAAACCGATGATAACCCTGGACATTTTTTTTTCCTCAGATTCACAGGAATATCTCAATTTAAGATTCTCCCAAAGGTGCTTTTTCAAGAATCAACTGGAGTTTCTGGTTTTTCTTTGAAGACATTTCAGCTGAAGAAGCTTCTTGGATGAGCAGCAAAATGTCTTCAAAGAAAAACCAGAAACTCCGGTTGATTCTTGAAAAAGCACCTTTGGGACAACCATGACCCAAATGATTAAGAATCTCCATAGTCAATTTAAGGTCGTTTTGCTACTTCTGACTTCATTTTACACCTTAAAATAATCTTACATTATTCAAAAGCAATACATTTTGACTAGCTAAATCCAAATTGAATGTAACTATGGTGTACATTTCTTAGAAATAACAATTTTCTTCGACTGAAATAAAACCCATCCTATTTTAACTGACTTGGCTTACAGTATTTTTAAAGCATATTTTTTTAAAAAATCTTTTTCAGGCCGTCTCATTGAACAACTTCAGTTAACCTATGCAAGTTCTCATCAATTCCAACAAATGTCTAAAGACTTCCAAGCATGGCTGGACACAAAGAAACAAACACAAGATCGCTCTCCTCCCATTTCCACTAAACTAGAAAGCCTTCGGTCTTTCATTGAGGATCAGAAAGAGTTTAAGGCAGCGTTGTCTGACCAGATTGGCTCCTATGAAAAAATAATTTCAGAAGGTGAAAACCTGCTTCAGAAGACTCAAGGGGCAGAAAAAACTGGACTGCAGTCCCAGCTCAACAGGCTCAAAGCTAACTGGGATGAGCTGCATAAACAAGTGAATGAAAGGCAAGATAAATTGAATGATTGCTTGGAAAAGGCTCTCCGATACAGAGAACACGTAGAGGTCTTGCAACCCTGGATAACCAAGTGCCAGAATAATTTAGCAGAAATTAAAATAGGTATCGATCCTGTTGAGATAGAGGATTCCATTGCTCAGGTGAAGATTTGGCAGAAAGATTTGGACAAACACCAAGGGATTGTTGAGCTATTAAGTAACGCCGCGGACAGTTTTCTTAGCGCCTGTCAAACTGATAAGGATATTATTGAAGAGGAAAAGAAACTATTGATACAGAAGATGGATACGATCACAGAACAGTTACGTATTAAAGCAGATACTCTGGAAAAGACGTCTCGGAGATTAAAAGAGTTTCAAGAATCATCCCAGGAGATTAAGGAGCAGTTGAAGAACACCAAGGAACAATTAGAAACGCACAATGCTCTTAAACCTCAGACTTACAGTAATAAACACTTAACTATTATGCAGACTCAGCAGAAAGCCCTTCAGACATTAAAGTCACAATTGGATGTGACGAAAAAGCTTGCCCAAGATTTGGTAGTGGATGCTTCTGATTCAGCAAACGTCTCTGACATCTTGTTGCAGACAAACTCATTAGAAGAAGAATTCAACACGGTCAGCCGGCAGGTTGAGGACGAATGTTCCTTCCTGGAGACCAAGCTCCAAGGAATCGGCCATTTCCAGAATACTATTCGAGAGCTGTTTTCCCAATTTGCAGAGTGTGATGATGAGTTGGATAGCATGGCTCCTGTGGCCAGGGACCTTGTCACTCTGCGGTGCCAACAAGAGGGCATCCAAGCTTTCCTCCAGAAATTGCAGGAGCTGATCAGCAGAAATGAAAATGCAAACAAGGCATGTAAAGTGATGCTAGCAAGTGAAGCAGAGGCGTCTCCCGATCTCGCAGGTATAAAAAGGGATTTAGAGGCTCTGAACAAGCAGTGCAACAAATTACTGGACAGAGCGAAAACCAGGGAAGAGCAGATCGAAGGGACTATTCATCGCGTTGAAGACTTTTACAGCAAACTGAAGGGATTTGCCAAACTGCTCGAGGAAGCTGAAGAGCACGAAGAGTCCCAAGGCCCTGTTGGAATGGAAACAGAGATTATTAATCAACAACTGAAAGTATTTCAGGTAAGACAATTCTCCCTATAGCTTTGGAACAGAGCTGTCGAAATACTGCACGCAGCAAATTTGTTACCACCGTTAACTCATTATCTGTCGCCCGACGTGTTTGTGATTGATGAGTTCAGGCCTTGGTGTGTGTTAAAGATTTTGGAGTATCCACAATTTTAGCTTTGTTTGTTCTTTTAAAAAATCATTTTTTACATGTGCAAACTTTTGCATGTCTTAAAACTTTTTGAAATGTTAGGTTTTCTGCACACAATATGCTTGTACTGTTGTTTCCCACTCTCCAATGCCACTCTCACTGGTTTCTATATGCTGCAGAGTTGTTTCACCGTGTTGGTGGAGGTTCCTCCAGATTGTGTTGTTGGACGATAGCACTGCCCATATAATCCTGAGTGAATTATAATAACATTGTGACTGGGTATAGATGTAAAGGAAATAGAATCGGATTTCATCTCGGCTTGCGTAGGTCTATATCTCTTACGTGGTCTTTCCCTTTTTGGGGAATAATCCCATACAGTGAAGGACAAAATATTGGTTCTCATCTCAAAAAAAAGGAGCTGCTTTAAAAGTTACAGCAGACCTTATATATAGCCTTGATGAAAGAAATGTCCTTCTGGGTTCGGCTCCAAGTGGGGAAAAAGACAATGGAGACACGAAGGCTGCTTGGAAAGATGGTTTATTGGTGGACAG